ATGTATAGTTTACTTTTGTTTAATAAAGCGCACATAACTAGCCTGACAGCGGGTTAAAAAAAAAAAAAAAAAAAAACAATATGATTTAGTTTCTACTAGGTTATATAAGAATTAAGAATCTATTATAAGTCTTCTCTTTATCACAGATGGATAAAAAATCACTGCACAAATAAAGTTGGAACCAAGTATATCCTGAAAGCAAAGACTTTTACTAAGTGATAAGTTTTTTTAAATGATATACAAGAAGAAAATTAAGATTAAGAATAAATAAGTTTTTCAGATAGTCAAGAAAAGAAAAGATATTCTAATCAGGCATTTCTTATTGAGAAAAGGTTTTAAGAAACAGGTTTTTAGAGTAAGCTGGATATATTTTTTTTGAATTTTTATTTTTTCATTTTCTTGTTGTTTGTTTATATATTTTTCCTTTTTTTTTTAACCTTTTTTTTGTAGTTTTCTGTATTCCAGGGGCTTAGTATAATATACAACAGTAACAACTTGCTGACAATGATGTAGTAGACTAGGAAAGTATTTACTTAAAGATACTGTGGAGTGAAATATTGTTCACAAGGTCAAACTTAAAGACTTTTATGCTTATAACAAGTTAGTTAGATTAGAATTAATAGTTTAGCTATAGTATATATCATGCTGTTTGAATAAAAATATACTTATGTTTTCAATTGATTAATAAACTGACAATCTAGTTTGTTATAGGTACTCAAAAAAAAATAAGTTTTTTAAATGATTAAAAAACAATTTTTCAAAATTGAAAATAAATAGTTTTTTTAATATTTTTTAAAAATATTTAATTAAAATGATTTTTAAAAGAAAATAAAAAAAAATAATAATAAAACTTTAAAAATCATTAAAAAAAATTTTTTTATAATATTTTATATATTGTTTGATTTCAATAATTTAATAATTAATAAAGTAATTAGTAATAACAAACTATTAAAAGTTAATATCATTTAAAAATTAATCAGGAAGTAAATATCATATATTAAATTAAATTTAAATTAAATTTAAATATAAATATATTTAAGAAATCTTTTAAATTATTAAATAATTAAATTTATGACTATATAAATAATAAGATAACTTAATTATAAATAAAGATTTTATTGTAAATATTTTTATTTTTTGACTAACAAAAATAATATACTATTTAATTCAGTCATAGATTAAAAAAAAAAAGAATTATTATTATTTATTGAATTTTAATTATATATGAAAATAATATTTGTAAAAAGTTTTTAAATTTTTATATTAATAAATAGTTCTAAAACAAATTGAAATTGATTTTAAGGAAAAATTTTTATTTATTTATTTTTTGTTAATTAATTTTTTAAATAAAGATTTGATTTTAAATTAAAAATTCATTAAAAATCTAAAAATTGAAATTGAATAAATTTCCAATATCTCATATATGATTAAAAAATTACAATTAATCTTTTTATTTATATAAAATATTATAAAAAAAAAAAAAAAAATCTCTTTTGATTCATTTAAAGTTTTTCTTTCTATATAAGAATTATTATAAAATTTTTAATAATAAGAAACTTTTGAGCTAAAGAATTTTCTTTGATCAAAAGTAAATTGCTTTCTTATTGTTTTATAGTATTACTATTTTTTATATTCACAATTATAATATATAATATAAAGGTGTTTGAAAATAATATAATCAAAAATTATATTAATAAACTATCTTATACTATATATTGTAAATAATATTATTTTTAGTATTATAAGTGTACAGTATACACAGTACGTGTAGATTGCATGATGAATAAATTTGTATGTATATGAATGAGAGGAAAAAAAAAATAAACATAAAACAGAATTCTTTTTTTTTTTTCAAGAAATTCTATTTCAATTCTTTCAGAATTATGTTCAACAAAGAAAATTACCATATCGACGTGTTTGGAGTTTTTTTTGGCAACAACACATAACCTCCCCTCCATTCTGGATTTTCAGGGTGCTTACGTATAAAAAGAAAATCGTGTTACGCAGGGTATTAATTGAGCGTGTTCTTTATCCTTGGTCCGCATGACCATTGACCCCTTACAATGAGCGCTCTTCTAACAAATATGTGCGTACGCGTACACGTACGTACTGTACGTAGTTTTTTCATCATCTTGAGTCAAGTCAAGGAGTGCATCGGCTTGGCTCGGAGGAGATGGTAGGTTTCGGAAGCAAATTCCTTCGGTTTATTTTTCAGATGCTGTGGAACATATTTAAATGGTGTATTCTATAATAACGACAAACAGTAAATAAATACAGTATATAAAACCGATCACCTATCGTGCATAGTTGTCATTGTATCAAATTCGTTATGTAATATACCAAATCTACGAATTAATAAAATAAACAATGGTTCTGGTTGATAATCACGAGGTGTATCACACAATCTACCAGTCTGAAGGTCACGTCAGCGTAACACAAATTGGTTACTCAAGGCGAAGCTCAATGGTCACAAGCGTCCAGTGTCACCTTTAGAATCTTTTTTCCCTTGGTACTACGTGGATATATAGGTATACAATTTCAAATTTAAAACACACTCGTCAAGTTCACTAATTCACCAACACACCAACGCAAAGGAGCAGCAGGATGGCGGTTTCTTCCTCCATTTCGATCTCCTCAAGGGTAGCGTCTCTCCCAGCCCCATGTTTGCTCTCTATATTTAAAAATTTCACAGCGGAAAAGTATTCGAAGGATCTCGGGACGCAAAGAAACCTTGTGTTGGTCAACCGACACTGGTGTGGCATTCTCACACCTGAGTTGTGGAGAGATCCTTTTGGATATACCGAGAAGAAAAACGATCAACATGTAAAGTTGATCGATACTTATTTCAAGTGTTTGCCAAAGGATGTTGGGCAAAAGATAATCGAAGAGATATTGGAAGCGTTAAATTCCAATCTTGCTGACGTTGACAATGGTTCCATTGATGATAGCTCTTCCGATAACTCAAGCAACAGTAGTGGCAAGGTTGCAGCGAATAGGAATCTAAAGCCGGTGTTTTATTATCATAAATATCTCCGCAATCTCCAGCTTGATGAGATATACCTGAGCGTTTCGAAATGGTATAAAAAGAATGTATCAAAGAAGGTCGTTTCGGCGTCCACTAAAGGTTCTCAAAAGCTCTACCTGTACCGAATGATCCTTCAGAATTTCGTCTCCCATTCTTCGAACATCAAAGACCTTACTCTCACCGGCGCAAGAGAGTATCCTTATGTCAATATTTATGATCTGCCTCAAGCGGAGTCCACGTTGTCGTCTATCAGGTTTTTAAGGTTGGATGTGAGCTCTTTACCTCCGGGAATGGATAAAATGCTTCGTGAGGTTATCTTCTCTTCGTCATATTTTTCCACTCATATTCAAGAATTGAAGATTAATTTGAATGCGGAAGGCGATATGAGCGGGACGGTCGAACAACTCGCCAGACTCATAGAATCGCAAAGGGAATTAAAGAAGATTTCAATCGAATGTTTTGAGATGGATTTTCAAATAATATGGAAGAGCGTGGTCAATCGTCATCAGGGCAATCTGGTGAAACTGAACTTGGAATGCATGGACTTCCAAGAAGAATTACCTTTCCGACTGGATTCCTTGAAAGCGTTCAGAAATTTGGAAGTCTTAAAGATAACACAATGCGAGAATTTTGATTTTGATGAGAACGAGATTAAGGATGACGCCGATGCATTTAAGAAGATAAGGAAGCTCAAGCTTAGGTATTGTACCGGAATTCCTACGATGTTCATGAAAGTTCTACTACAAAGGTATGTGTTTTTGATCACACGGAAAGCGTCTCTAATTTTTATAAAATTAAATATTATTAAAGTTAATGATATTATTCTTTTTAGAGCAGGAAACAATTTGAAAGACCTCAAGGTCAACGGCCTTACATGCTTTGCGGAAATATTACAATGGTGTACCATGTATTGTCATGGACTGAAAAATATCGAGACGACATTAGACAAACAACATTCAGAACTTTTTATCGGTCTGATGAGGGTCAATAAGGACCTGAGAGATATATCGATAGATGATATTGTGTACATGGAATCTTTGAATGGTTCGACGTCTACGAATCGCAATTTCATTGAAGACGATGACGATTTTTACTTTGGGGGATATAGTCAAAGAGATTCGAGGATACGAGAAATTGATGACGGAGAGACGGAGGATGGAAACGATTTCTTGGAAAAAATGGCGACAGTGGTTCCTCCTTATCTGCGAACTTTCCATTTCATCCTTGACTGGTGGTTCACTCCGAAATCACTCGAGATGCTACTGGAAAGGATGAACGCCAAATACCTTAAGTCTTTGGATTTCTCGAGGTGCAGAACTTTTTCAGAAAAGCACTTGAACGTGGTGCTTAAATATTGTGGAGGGAGCTTAAAAAGGTTGATTCTATGCATTAGTAAGAACATAACGAGGGAGGGGTTAAGGAATGCGAAGAGGAAAATCGATGAAATTGAATTTGTGGAGGACGAGGAAAAGTTTTGCGACGAATATTTGAGAGATGTTCGATATGGTGAGGAGTTAGATGATACTTACTTGGAATTTAGTCCCGATCTTTTTGAAGACAGAATGCTCGAGGAGGCACTCGGGTTTGGGACACAGCATGTCTTCGGGCCTGATTTAGAAGAAATAGATTTTGAAAACATCACTAGTGATTACTCTGAAGAAGAAGACAGCGAGGACAGCGACGAGGAGAGTAGTTATGACTATTCGGATGAAGATGATTCGGGCGACGATTACTCGGATGATGATTGTCCTGACGAATTTTCCGATGATGATATGTGAAAATCTTTGTTCTTTGTAAATAACACACTATCGGGTCTCGGTTCCCCGTTTAATTTTGGAGATGGTCTCCAAAAGGAAGTCAAAAAAAAAAAAAAAAAAAAAAAAAATCCGGCGCGATGTGAAATACACGAATGATTATAATGTCGGTGTTATGGATAACCTCGAAGTTGTCCTTCACATCTTAATCCCTTATTCAATAAAGCAAGAGGTGTAAATGTGAAACTTTTTCTCCGAAAGGAAATTATTATAGCACTTCGGTTTTACGGAATTATCTTACTTATATATACTTAATTTTTATTTTTTATTCTATTTTTCTTTTTTTGCAGCATCAGTGTAATTTTCATATTACTTGCATTTTCATGGAATCCTACATTGGAATGATACATTAGAGCCTTGATTAGAATAGAGAACTGCAATATCCAACAGCCCGAAAAAGGCTCCCAAACTAATGAAATGTTCATCTCTTAAGGTCATCTGATGTTATTCAGCGTCACTTCTTCAATAAAATATCATTTAGTAATTTTTTTTTGTTTAGTATTATCGAGACATTTACCTATGGAATTTCGAGAGCTATTTTTTTATAATTTATCATAACATAAAAAATATTCAACTATATTTATTAATAACGATACTATATGAAGACCCTTCTTTAAATGACATATAATAGATTCTTCGTTGATTTTGCATATTATTAAAATTTTCCAATTAACATTTTTTAAACGAATAATTTATTAATATTGTCAAAACACGTAATTTTATTATTATTATTAGATACATGGTTTAAGATTAAATTAATTTCATCAGAGTTCAAATCTGAGCCGCGTCGCTACCGCAATACATTGCATGTTAGATTTGTGTTTTGTTGTTTGATGCAGACGTGACAAATAATCCGAAGAAAAAAAATACATTATCGTCCCTCCGAGTGATCTGTACTTAAGCAATGAGTATTATGGGAAGGAGGAGCCTTGATATATTATCTTACCGCTCCGATTATTCGAAAATTTATAATCAATCGTTGCGATCAACCTGAAGATCGTACAACATTCGTGGGCTATAAAGTCCTCATTAGAGAAGCATTAATTCTTCCAGATGATAACCTTAAACATCTATCCAGATACCGTGTATTGAGATTCTTACACAGGAATGGTTCTTGTGCAAATCAATCACTAGATTCAACACAACGGAATATATGGAGGTCTGGACTATAAATAATTCAGGTTGCGGAACGCGCCCGTGCGTCGCACGAGCACACGATCGTCGATTAGAAAATACTTAAGGTTAGGGTAAAAGTGAAATGGTGGGAAGAATTCATGAGGTGATTATTGTAGAAAGTGATTGGTGCAAAATAAGAAAACATTCGCCAAATCGTTTTAGGTATTTGATAGTGATTTTCTTATTACACGGGGATCAATTACTTCTGTTAGTGGCGTTAACCGATCTGGTACAAAATTGTATGTGAACCATGATACTTCTAATGGCGTGAGATCATGGTCAAACTCTAATGTTGGAAGACGAAAAGGCGCCCAAGCGAGGCAATAAATGGACTTTAAAAATAGTATGTTGGTGGAACATTGGCTTTAATATTAGAATACTTGTAATATTTTCGAAGGACAGGGATTTTTCGGACCCCATAATTGTGATACTAAAAAATTTATTTTATACGTAAACTGGGGGGGGGGGGGAATAATTGGCCAAATAAGTAACAAAAGATCTGGACTATCATTTTTAAGGATGATTAACAAATCGTATAAAGAAAACTAGATCAAAAAAAAGATAATAGTAGCAGAGATTTTTTACCAAAAATAAATGACATGGGGGGGTGCCGGATCATGAGGAAAAATGTAAAACGTGACTTAATCGCATATCGTCACGCAGTCAAATTCGCGAAATTATCAAAATTGCCGTGAGCCGTATTAATGTTTCGCGGAACTAACATTAGTTAAATATAATATAAATTAAGATAATGCGTACATAAATATAACCTATTCATTAAAAATTTTTTTAATTAAATACTAAATCGAACTTCGATTTCCGGTTTATGGTCTATATGCCAGAAATAAGATCCGAAAAACTATTTAAACAATATAAATTATTATGAGTGACGCAAGGAGAACACCCCCCCATGTTATTTATTTTTGGTAAAAAATCTCTGCTGATAATGGTATTACTGTATATCAAATAGTAAAAGTATCTGAAATATTTTAAATGCACAAAAATTGATATTAATAGAAAGGTATAATACTGTATTGTATATTAAGACCGTTTAATAGAAATACTTTAATTAAATCTAGAAAAACAAGAATTATTTTACTTAGATAAATTTTTGTTTAATAACAGTAAAAAAAAGTAAAATGAAGGTAACATAAGTTTAAACAAAAAGAGAAAAAAAAGGAAAACAGATTTCAAATTAAAATAAATAGTTAACTATTATTAACAAGAGTTAAACCAATAACATTAATCACAATCTTACTATAATTTTAATAAATAAAATAATTTAAATTTATATAAATAATAAATCTTATATCTTTAAGTGAAAAAGTTTAAATAAAAAAATTAAAATAATATATAAGAGATAATTAAAAGAAATGTTTTCTTTTCAGATTTCAATATTAACATACAGTAATTTATTCTATTATATTAAAAAGAGACTTTCAAAAAAACTCTTTTCATTAATCTTCTGATCACATACAAAAAGATATTCGCAAGAAGTTTTTAACTTCTATGCTAATAAAATCTTCATATTTTCCTTAAAACAACTTGAAAGTTTACTTTCAAGAGTTATTTATACCTTTTTTTTTTTTGTTCACAATTCTCTTTAATTATAAACTTGATTTTTAATAATTAAAACAAATTGTATAACACCTTTATTGCTAATGGCAAGAAAGTTCTTAAAGAAAGAAGAATCAATAATGAAGTATCTGAAGGTTTTTTCCAACTTTGTTGAGGTTAACAAGATTCTGTATAGTGAAAAAGACTTATTTTTCTCCCTTTTTTACTATTGCTTTCCTCTTAAAGTTATCACTTTCATGGTTTTCTAGAGAATTTTACCTATCTTTATTTAACCTTAATTTTTAGATAGTACAAACTCTTATTAAAACTGATTGATTAATATTAAATACATTAGTTTTTCAAATGTAAACAAGCTTCTATTAGTCATATACATGTATTTGAATAAGAAATTGTTCCCTAACATATTACTAGATATCAAGAAGGAGAATAATCTTCAAAAAAACTACTTATTGCCATCCAGGAAAATAAGAAGAACAAGATACTCAAGAAGATATAAATTAAAGGCAAAGCCTTAAAAATATATCACTTACTTATATAAGCCTGAAACATTAGAAGACTGAAAGATTCTTTAAAATTATTTATACCAATCAAAAATAAAATTACTAATAGAAAGTACTATTATTGACATAGTGGATCAACTTTTTTATAATAGTAGTATTTTAAGAATAATATTTATTAAAGCCAATAAAAGTATATATTAGAAAAATCAAGATTCCTTTTCTAGATAAATTATTATAATATATAAGTAAGAACAGATTCACTGAATAATAAAGACATCATTTCTTATATTCATATTAACTTTCTTCAATTCTAGTTCTAGAACCTTAAAAAATTTTTTTGATTTGTTTGGTTACTTGAAGAAATATTAAAAAAAAAGACCCAACATAAATAAAATAAGGCAAAACATAGAATCAAAATTGAAAAACACAAAAATTATAACATATAAGTACTAAAAGCAACTGAAAAACAAATATTATGCTCTTAACTAATGAAATTCTTGAAGAGTATTCAACTGATAATATAGAAGTAATAGTAATAGCATGATCTCAAGTGTTAACTCTATAATATATTACTATTTTTCTTCTCTTATCAAATCCTTTCAAAATATAAGTAGAATTCTTTCACCTATTAACTCTTATATAACTATTGTTTTTAATTATTTCTTTTAGCAATAGACAATTTTTCAAAAAAATTAGTATATAAATACATATTTTCTCTATAGAATTAATATAGACAAATTAGATTTAATATATATATTAATCTTTCTTTAAAAAAGTTTTATCACCATAATAATTCTCTCATTAGATCTCTATCTGGAAATGACTTAGTCATAAGGTGGTTTTTTAATCTATTATTAGTTTATTAGCTTATAATTGTTTTCTTTTGATTAAATATACCTATATAATAAAACTTCACTAATAAACTTGATCAAATCAGCTTAAAAAAAAAAAAATTGGAAAGAGGATTTGAAATTTTTTTAATTTTTATAAATTACTTTTTTAATTATTTTTTTCAATAGTATCTTAAAATTCTCAATTCTTAAACTCTTTTAGTAAACTTTTTATATTAATTTTTTTTTTTTTTTTTTTTTTTTTTTTTTTTTTTTTTTTTTTTTTTTTTTTTTTTTTTTTGTTTTTTTTTTTTTTT